ATCTCGTTACACGGATGATTAGACTGCATTACGCGAGACACCGGAACAATCTCTGGTAACGACACCGTTAATCACTTTCCTTTGGCTCGTTCACCGATACGGGGAGAAAAGGGTCTCGAGGAGGAAAGGTATCAGCCACGGGAAATTGAGTTTCTCTGAAAAATTCGATCGGGATTACGAGTGCCTCGCTGATCGGCTCCAGCCCGACGAGCTCCCTTTGACTTGAAACGGTGAAAATTTACGAAACTACGATAGACACACACACGTCCGTGCACCTACGTGTAATTGGTCTACATCCGAGTTCAATTCTTCACCCCGATCAACCCTACGAATCGAGTCGATCCTTTGAACCCACTTATATCGGGAACCTCCGCGATCGCGTTTTCAGCGGGAAACACGCGTGAAAGCGATAGTTGCCTGCCCGCGGGAATAATCGCGGGACGACGCGAGCTCGCGAATCTCGACGGCTCGTTCCGCGCGTACCCGAGAAGGAGAGGAACAGAGCGAGGCCGGGATAGGAGAGACACTTCTTTCGAGTTCATTCAGGATGAAACAAACCGGGAGACACTCCTCGAGCGATGAAAAAGGAGGAGAGAAGAAAAGGAGAAGGACGGGTCCGTGTTGCCGAGCGTGAAATCTCGCCGCGGCGTAGGAAAAATTCTTGCGACCCTCGCCTCGCGCGACCCTCCATTATACTTCCTCCGCTCGAACGGGCCGCGCGCGCTGCCGAGGAAACTCTCACGCGTAATTACTTCGACATAATGAATCGCATATTATTCGTGATAATTCCTCGCCGGCCGAGCATTGTGCTCGCTCCTCGTTCTTACCTGCTTCTAATTTAGTCTTTTAACGCGTTCTTAACCCGACGATTCCCGCCCCGTGCTCTCCCTCTAACCGGATCGCGTCGACGACGATCCCCGCGTATTATCTCCTCTTTCTCTGATACCCTTTGATCGCGTCGCGTTCGATACTATCGGTCTGCTCAGAATTAATTCCTTATCCTCTATTACCCATAAACGAAGGTAAACGAGATTGAACCGAGATTCGAATCGGGATTCATAGCGTGAACGCATACGTTACAAGCAGTCGAAGACGATTCGACCGAACCGATGGCGCGTCAACCCTAAACGTCCGCGTTTTACCGTGAATCGCTGCCTCCTCCGCGATCGGATGCTCCCCGCGGTTACGCGATCGACGATCCCCGCTGGATCTCCTCGTGAAAGAGTCAAGGACTCCGGCGAAAGAGAGATGTCCTGGGACACACGAGTGGCGTCGCGTGTACTCGGCCACGTGCGCATTGTCGTCGAGCCGTGTACGCGCGTGCATACGTGCGTAAGTCGTGTTGGCACTTGGACACGCGCTTCTTATCCCTCCGCGGCGCACGATGCGCACCCCTCACCTCTGTTACCCTCTGTGAGCGGCGTCGTTAAACACTTGACAGAGCGCCCGGCGCGCGTACATCGTTCACCGATCCTTCTGGATCAGTGAATCCGGCCTTCGATTAATTGTAGCCTGCTTTTTTAGAAGCTATTATTCCGTAATAGCCATCCGCCCCGCTGCGATCACTCTGGACCGAGGGTCGGCAACCTTTTCTTAGCGGAGTGCCATTTTTCCGTAAATCTGTTCGAAAGGTTATTAATTCAGTAGAATTATTCCAGTTAGGCTAAAGGGCTGCTTTAGAGGATGA